CGGATGATATTTTAAGGGTGGGTCACATAATTTTCAAGGGGACGGAGGGGGAGTAGTCGTTTCGAAAGAGTTTAAAGGGGGGACTCTAGAAAATTGAAAGCCAGTGAAGGGGAATCATTATTATCGGGTTAATTTTATCGTGACACCGCCCACCTTCCCTCAGCGAGATAATGACCGGTCCCTGTAACACTACGGATGACTTACCTCTCTGAGATGTGAATATAGAAAGTGACCTGCACACATTACTTGATGCATGTCGATCAATGATCGAACTTGCTCCACGACAGCAATCAACTAGAAATAGAAATAAGAAAATAACAGAGATCAGCTGCCACAGGCACGCCTCCCCAGGTCCCACCGGTTCTGCGTGCAGAACCTTGTGACAACTGATGAACAAAAACTCATCTATGCTGCATAACAACGAGTGAACTATTGATAAAGATATGACTGAACAGTCTTAGATCACTCTCAAAAGATTTTTCCGATAAAAACTGTGCTTACTTGCTTCTTGCCCAACTTGATGCCCTCTTGAAGTTTTTCAGTATTAGATCTAAGCAATTAAAAAACACAAGAAACATTAACTGAACGTTTTTACGAGATACAATGAATATATGAAGATCATATATTTTGAACTGCGGTATTAGATACGTATGATGCACGATCCTCGCAGTAGATAGCGCTATCTACTGCGAGGATCGTGCATCATACTTAACGTTTTTACCTTGGTCTGTAAAAGAGCAAACCCCTCATTGCAGTTGATTTGATAACAACAACCATTGCCAATAGTTAATCAAAAGGGGAAAATTCCCTTTCGAAGTAAAAAGCTGGTTTAAAAATACACGTGACTCAAACGGTGAATAGACAACGAGTACAAGTACTTTTGAAACACTTTGATCCCCATAACGGGTTTTATAAGTAAGGCCTAAAAACACCTGAGACTTACAATAAGAATTACTGTAAGACTTACAGCAAGAAGGCGAATTCTTAAAAGAAAGTCGTTAGACTGTGGCTCCTCAATCAAAGTCAACTACAACATAAAGGAAGAGAGGGACAGCAGGGGTTTCATTAAGGGCCAGGCACCTGGCAAATTGACCAGTTGTGAAGACGGTTTTGCCCACCTGATTTGACGGTCTGGAGGAAAGTTTATCTTATAAAGAAGTTCAGTTCAAAGAGGTTTGCCCGCCTGTGAAAACCAGTTGCCCTCCTGCAGAAAACGTTAATGAAACCCCTGCCGGGACAAATGAACCTCTGTCAACAGAAAGGGTTGGTAAATATGTAACAAGCACCCATAATACACAGGCAAAATGTAGAACAACTTTTGTGGTCAACGCACTGTGATAAAAACTATTCTCCTCTCGTACCTGGACAAAGCATCTAGCGCCTCTAAGAAGTGGTCCCATTTGCTCATGCCATCCGTGTCCTGTAGGAATAGACTCATCAGCGACTTATTTGTACAATTTTCGGCCTGACCAGCGAACGACGGACTGATTGACAGAGGTTATTGTATGTGAACTTACCGGAGCCTCCAAAAGAGCATTAACGGCATAAACAACATCGCTTGCGCAAAGCTATGAAAACAGCAAAGTAGTTGAACACTATAGTCAGCAGTGCATGAAGAGGGCGTGGTAAGGGAGGGTTCTAGGGTAGATTTAATTAAGCCCTTCTTGGCTAAAAAATAAATGATTACTTTCCATGCCACGACTTTCCAAGCCTGGAAAAGGATCATGTGGCGTTCCAGGGTTTTCATAACCTGTACGAGCCCTGCAGTAAAGTGCTGGTCTAGGTCACCCCTTCAAGAGAGTTATATTCACCTACGCCCGTTCCTGTGTAAAACATTAAAAATATATATATATATATTTCCGACGATTGAGCGAAAAAGCAGTCTTCCCCTTGGGGAGAAAGAAAAACAAAGAGCAAAACAAAGAAGTGAACAATTTAACGGGTGGTTATATTAAAAGAAAGGATTTCCCTTCCAAATATCTTTTTTTCCAGTTTACTTTGGCATTGTGTTCTTATTCTTAACCCGTTATACCCCAAGAATGACCAGCATCTAATTTCTCCCTACAGAAATACTGCTAACTCTTTCATTAAGATCATGAAAATAAAGGAAATCATCGCCAACCCAAGACGCTTTGATTGTTCAACAAATTCTTCTTGACAATAGCAAAGAAAATATACGGAGAAGAGTATGGAGAAAATGGATACTGATGTTAAAGTGTAAGAGTTAAGTAATGTAGGGGAAATTTTACCATTACCTTATTTTTGAAGCCATACTGAACGTGGAATGTTCCGTAAGACATTTCATCCAGCCTTGATATAGAAAGCAAACAATGCCAGGATCAGTACATGTTAATTCATGCATTTTGAAAAAATTAATCCAAAATTTCCTGACATTTGTCATTTGCAATCTGTTCAAATCTACTTTGCCCTTAGTAGGGAAAACACTTGTCGAAGGCTTGCACTAAAACCAAGAACATCAGAACACCTGGAACACCTGGAACACCCCAACACCCTGGAACACTAGAACACCCCCGAAACACCGATTTGATGGTGTAAAAAAATAAAATGTAGATGTAATTTGTTTACCCACATAACACGAAAGAGCTTAGAAGCAGGCGCTAAATATATAGTTTCTTAATGTTTCTTATCTTATTTCTTTGTGGTATAAATAAATGTTGTTCTTTTTCCAGTGTTCCAGAGTGTTCCAGTGCTCCAGAGTGTTCTGGTGTTCCAGAGTGTTCCGGTGTTCCAGAGTGTTCCGGTGTTCCTGATTTTAGTACATGCCCTTGTCAAACCTTTGACGCCTGAGAGTTACTAACACCTAAACCTCCTCACAGTATCATCCCTGAGTCAAACATTAAAATCACAAGAATGAAGAAAGAAGTAAAGAAGCTCTTGATTGTCCTGCAAATTCTTCTTGACAGCACCTTAGGTAATGTATAGAGAAGAGTATAGAGATTATGCATACTGATGCTACGGTGTAAAGTGTCAATGTAGTTTTGACTTCATAACCCTTTTCAGTTGATTGACATTGTTCCTGAGCACTGAGATTCTGAGCAGAACTCAATACTTGACTTACCCAAATTTGTCAGCAGATGTTTCAACCCATCCTTTTAAGTTGTTCCTCAAATCAAAATCCATGCTGTAAAATTTTTGCTTACTTTGAACAAGAGGGATTCTGGAACAATAAAAATCAATCAACTGAATGAAATTCAAAAGCAACAAAGTTGACAACTGTGTCAGATATTGTCAAACTGTATGACATCTCCCTTAGTTTTTGGTGGGTTATCTTTAAAGGGTAAAGAATAAGAAAACAATGGTTTCCACAAGTTTTGCAAAATTTTCATTCATTACCATATTGAATTTTAATGAGGTTTTGTTTTCAATATGGTTTTGTTTTCAATATGGTTTCCACAATTTAAAACTTATAAATAAAAAATTTAATGTACATACATTGCAAGATAGAATTTCCCAAATTAATTGCTAGTAATTATGGTGCAAAGTACGTATTTCAAGTTCTACAGACACTAAAGAACTTTGCAAGTCTATGAAATGAGTCTAAGATGAACCATTCTGTGGAATTTTTTTTTTTGGCATATTGTGTGCACGGATGTTACAGGGATCCCACTGGCATCCCATGTGAGTTTATTGTTCTGTTGATTCCTGTCCTATTCCTCCTTCCTCTACAAAAACAAAAACTACAAATGTCCCAATTTTTTCTGAAAACAGTGGAAAAGAAAAGTCACCTTGAGGACATTCACTGCTACAGAAGATCTATATTAATGAATTTATTTTTGCAATTATAACACTGCCAAGTTTCCTACCTAGCCTAGCCATTTTTGTGAAATAAACCCAAAACTGCCTTGGAGTTAACCTTAAGCTGCGTGCTCTCATTAGACAAATGTAAATTTAATCAAGATAATGAAATTTTCAACCTTACCCCATATCAGCAAGAAATTCATTAAGTTTCTTTTTTCCCTTCATCGTCCACACCCTGAACCTGCAGGCTGTATAGCGAGAGTTACAGATGCTGTCAAATAGAGACCAATGTCTGTATAATGACAGTCGCAGTCTAATTTATTATGTTAAAGGAAAAACAACATTGATGACTTCTGAATGGGAAAACCTGCTATCAAATGAGTAATTCTTTTTTCCAGAGAAGTTTTAGACAAGTATGTCTCTACCTTTTATACTTCAACTTTATGTGCTTCACCCAGGTTTCCCCTACTAATTTCTGAACGTATCATTAATGTAGAATATCCCCAGTGCAATTCAGCTCTTCTACAGGTTTAGCAGTGGTACAAGGTATTAACAATGGATTACTTAAACAAGATCTATAAGCAAAATGACAAAAGACCACAGCCCAGTTGTTCATAGGCTGATTAGCACTAACCCTAGGTTAAATTCTAATCCAGATTTCTTAAACGCGAAGGCACACTATATAAGGAAGTCTTCCCTGGGAATACCTTGGCTCATTTGTCACTCACCATTGACATATGCGGGTCAAATTTAAATCCCAGTAGACGAACAAAAGGAGCTAATGAGATATCTATTGTTTACTTCCACCAGCATGGTGGCAAGAGGTAACGTGCGAACCACCTACTTCAATCTCAAATTTACCGCCACAAATAAAGACAGTTTCCATTGGAGAAATGAAATACAAATCTCAAAACTTCTTGTATTGTGATGAAGACATAAAACAATTTTGAGGAATGCGCCTGCTGTTCACTGTTTTGGCGTAGCTGTAGCTCAAGCTGACTTGACTCTAAGAGTTCTACATCAAACAACGGTTGATTGACAAATGGTCCAGTGGGACCTAAGGCTCCTTTTATAGCGCACCTTCATGTTCAAGCCAGCTTTGAACAGATCAGCCCACATATTTGCCTGTAAGCATGCCAACTTAACTAGCTAGAAGATTTGGAAATATCAACAAAGTTGAAATGGTAAATTGGCCACCGTAATGATTACAAAAGCTGACGTTTCGAGCGTTAGCCCTTCGTCGGAGCGAATAGAGGAATTGTGGGTTGTGTGTGCTTTTAAAGGCAGAAAATGGAGCTACGTTATTGGTGGGTGCATGGCAACGAGAAAAACATGAATAAATTAGTGGAATGAAAAGCGTTCATTGATCCCTGTGGGATT